CACATCCTTGCCTTTTACCCTAAATTATTATTTTATTACTTTTTTTGTTAGAAAATTCATAACTAAATACACAAAAATTAGAAAAATGATCCGAAACTTGTTACGAACTCATTGAGACCCCATCTCCCTTGCTAAATTCATGGTTACGCATTTTACAAAATAATTCCGAACATTAACGGGAGATGCTTGTTGAAGTAGGTTATTGAAGTTAAAGTTAACAAACATATACACTTAGGGTTAAGGGGAAAGTGAGTTATGTAAAATAATTTGAATTTTTTCATTGCGAAACGGATGATTTATAAATTTCCCTAGGTTTATAACGTCACAAGGAGGCCGAAGTAATTTTCAGGGCATTTTTAGGATTTTCCTACTATTTATTACCTTTTTTCAAAGATTTTTGCACTAAAAAAAGCCAAAATAATTGCAAGAGGACACCTGGAGCAATCTCAACCCATCACCTTTCACCACTTGCACAAGTGTACGTTAGTCAATATGGTCACATCTTTGCCTTTTACCCTAAATTATTATCAATGGGAAAATGTCATTCCTAAGGACCAGTGAAAAGACACCTACTCACTCCATACATGCCTTTTCGCTTACCAAATATTAAGATTGCAGTTGTGCAAAGTATCTTGAACTCATTGAGACTCCATCTCCCTTGCTAAATTCCCCGATTCATGGTTACGCATTTTATAAAATAATTCCGAACATTAACGGAAGATGCTTGTTGAAGTAGGTTGTTCAAGTTAAAGTTAACAACCATATCTACTTAGGATTAAGGGGAAAGTGAGTTATGTGAAACAATTTGAATTTTTTTCATTGTGAAACGGATGATTTATAGCTTCCCCTAGGTTTATAACGTGCTCTAGGTTTATAACGTCACAAGGAGGCCGGAGTAATTTTCGGGGCATTTTTAGGATTTTCCTACTATTTATTACCTTTTTTCAAAGATTTTTGTACTAAAAAAGCCAAAATAATTGCAAGAGGACACTTGGCGCGATCTCAGCCCATCACCTTTCACCACTTGCACAAGTGTACGTCAGTCAACATGGCCACATCCTTGACTTTTACCCTAAATTATTATTTTATTAATTTTTCTTAGAAAATTCATAACTAAATACCTAAAAATTAGAAAAATGATCCGAAAATTGCTACGAACTCATTGAGACTCCATCTCCCTTGCTAAATTTCCTGATTCATGGTTACGAATTTTACAAAACAATTTCGAACATTAACGGGAGATGCTTGTTGAAGTAGGTTATTGAAGTTAAAGTTAACAAACATATATACTTAGGGTTAAGGGGAAAGTGAGTTATGTAAAATAATTTGGATTTTTTCATTGTAAAACGGATGACTTATAAGTTCCCCTAGGTTTATAACGCCACAAGGAGGCCGGAGTAATTTTCGGGGCATTTTTAGGATT